AGATCATCGACTTCTTTCTTGATGGCTGCACTCAGCGTTGTGCCAATGCTATCTGAGAACAGGATCGCGATAAACAAACAGCTACAGTCCCACTCTTCCGTGCTACCGTTCTGTATAGTCGCCAGATATCGCGCATTCTTCGAACGGCTTTTTCGAGACTCTATCTTGTAGAATTCTGACCCATTCTTTGGCGTGTTCTTCCATTCTCCAAGCGTTGGGCTATAACGGAAATCCCATTCTTGCTTGAAGACTTGTCGTAGTCCTTCGGGAACCAAGTTGAAGGCGATGTAACAAATTCGAAAATAGTTCAATTGTTCTGAAGTATACTCCATCGTGGAATGATCTGTTGTAAAGATACACCATTTAATTCTGGTTACGAGGATTTGTGTAGAGCAGACAATGTGCCGTTTATTCTTGAGACGTGTTCTCTGCCTGTCTGGACGAACTTGGGCAAGTTTTCTCAGAGCTGTTGTTTTTGCCTATCAGTGTAAAGGCGACAGAAGACGAATAATGCGTCAAGGCGAACTATATCTTATTTGGTACATCTTGAGGTCATTCGACTGAATACAACCTGCACTGACAGGTTTGTCAAACTTTGCCTATTGATTTTTTACATTACAGGTTCTTAAATTTTGAAATAAAACTGAGTGCCCGCGTTCGTTTAGGAGCAACAACACCTTCTTTCTACCCAATAAATCGTTATAATAGCACCATGATTTTAGTCATTATTGCTTGCTAAATTCACCTTTCCGTCGACTGTTCTTGTTCTACACTGAGATTTGGTTCATGCCTAGTTTACATAGAGAAATGTTTTTACTCAGTTGAAAACAAGAGAAAAGAATAATATATCAACGTCCTCGTTCTCGAGAAAATGACGATTTACCTCTATGGCGAGGTCCAGCCGTAAAGAAAAAGCTGCCATTTTTTAATCCACGCGCGCTAATCATGCGTGAAACTATGCGCAGTTGGAATGCGCAATGCAATACTGGGGAATGGTCTTAAATGCTAAACTGATGATTAAATGGGTCGGATAGTCTGTTTTGGTTTTACGCTATAGACGCATAAAATTCGATTGCTAAGTTCGCATACTATTGGATGTTGTCGTGATAGATCTTTAGGTGCTAAAATCTGTATTTTTTCTATTGGTTAGTTCCTCGGAATGGAGTAAACAACCATTGTGCTTTAGTGCACGGTCGAGGCAAAAAAAGAGACCAAAAACATACAAAGAATTATGCCGAGTTTCAAAACCATTCCCTTCTATTAGCTATGCACCCATGCATAAACTGAGCCAGTTGATCTATTCCTGAGTGTCGAGAAATTTAATTGAGTGCATTATACTTTTTTGACATTTACTGTATTTCTCTCTGAAAACTTATGAAATGTCTAACGCGTACCACTAATAGTCAGGCGGTTATGTGCAGAATATTACATGTATAGTGATCTTTGGGCTAAAAGCGTGAAATTTGGTATAAGTGTAGGGCTTTTCATGCTCATTAACATCTGATATGGAACCACTGTGAAAATGTATTCAGTGGGATGTTATAAGGGTGTTTCCAACATGGCCTCCATTTTGACCGGAAGTAGAATGCAAAATTACTGCAAGTTATTAGAGGAGGATCAAAGCGCGCTGGAAAGACGTTTTGTCTTAATCCAAGATACAAAATGTCTTATTTAAATGTTGAGGGAGAAAAAAAGTAAAAAACATGGGCAATGCATCACATATTCCACAATGACCTCAAAACCGGAATTGAGAATGCCCTTGATGATAAAATGTTTCGTTTGTGAACGAGCATATTATAAGGTTGAGAGTGATGTGCAATGTGCTCTCTGATACTTATATTTATACTTATACTTACACAAAAACAAAAATACTTAAAGAAAACAAGCCCTATCTAGCAATTTATGGCATCTATTTATTTTCCTGTAGACTACTTCAATTTAATCTTATAGTACAACCCTCCAAGTTACTTTTTTCCTTAGTGGCCATTTGGCCACTGACTGTTCAGGTTTGGTCGCCAGTGAAAAATTTCAGTCGCCAAAATATATGCATAAATTAATAATTAATTGATAATAAATAATAATCTGATTATTATCTAACTGTATTATTAATAACATTTTCCTTGAACCACCAGGTAAATTGAAGTCCTGTCCAGTG